TTAATAAAATTGTCTTTATAAAATTTTAAAGTTTTAGGTAGTAATTTAATGAAAACCTTTAAAAATATCATTTTAAAAAATATATAATACAATCGAAACTTTACATAGTATAACTTTGCAAATATATGTATAATTCATCTTACTCTAAGTAAAAATTAAATCATACGAATTTAAAATAGAATTTTATATGATTTAATCTTTTTGTCATAGAATTTTCATATCCTTTCCCACACACACATATAGGAACGTTCTTTGGAAACGTTTTTTGGAAGTCGGACTATATGAATCGATACAGATATCACAAAACTAGGAAACCTCCATTACTTAATATAATGATTTTTTTTCTATTCTATCGCGCGATCAGAACTATTGCGTGCAGTGAGAAGAGATCGCGTGCATCTGCTTGAGAGAGAATATCGTCGGCGGAAACCGATGAAAGATGCAATTTTCCGAAGCGATGGCGTGGAAAATAGATTCATCGCCATCGTGGTAACATTGCCGACTGCCAATGACGGCGATTTTCTTATTTTCTTTCATTTCTCGCGACGACTGTTGCTAGCACCTTGTAATGTCGTCGTTCATGAACAGGGAGCATCAACATTTTTCCAGAAAGCCAATATCAGAATAGAAGTCACTGTATGCTAAAAATGCAGTTGGAAAATAATATTTAAAAAACTTAAAAAATAGAATTATATCTCCCCAAACATTCTCGGAATAATGAGAATAATAGAAAAGCTACTTGGAAAGTTTTCAGGTACCCTATGAAAAACATAATCCCTCGAGGACATGAATTATAGTCCGTTCTTCGCGCAATTGTACACACATACTCTCTTTCTTACAAAAATGCATTTTTACAAGGGTAAAAAACGCACTTTATTTTTTTTCTCTTTTTTAAAAACGTACACATAAAGTTTTTAAATTTTGGTACTCGCATTTCATCATTGTTTTTCATATCACTTTTTCTCTCTTTGATGCTGAATGTTTCTACACAGAGAAAATTGAAGCATGCCTATAATGTTAAAAACTTTTTCAACCATTGTTGAAGTAACGGCGTACACGAGAGCAATAATAACCCAGATTATATTTGAGAGTCATGTTCATGTAAAATATAATGCATTGTTCTTACAGTATAATATGCTAGTAGAGAAAAATATTGTTTAAAGTAAAGAAAAGAGAATATTAAAACATTTTATTTTCTAATAGGCAAATGCTATCTATAACTATAGAGTATAATAAAATATTAACTCATTAATTCTTATTACACAAAAAAAATATATTCTTTCTTCTATATGTATATAAAAAAAGTAGCTATATTATTTATTGCAATAATGCAACATTTCACACTATTCTAATTTCTTAAATAAAATTATTGATTTCTTCATATTTTAATTATTAAATAAGTAGAAAAATATAAATCAATTATGTTTACTTAAAAAATTTAAAGCATTTGTGAAATATATATTATATTTAATATGATTTGACTATTATATTGTATGCAGTTCTATGTATGTGAAATCAGATAAACATCTATTATAAATATATTAAAGTAGAAAGATAGATGGATGGATGGATGGATGGATTTTTTTCTTTATAGATTTAAATTTAAATAAAATAATTATTTAAGAGATATTTACTAAAAAATAATTATTTTATGAAGAAAAAGTATGGTGTTTTAGAGTGCATCTTATTTCTTTCTTATGAGAAATGTATGTAACTTCGAAAGAAGGAGAATGCTCAAAGAGAGCTTCCAGTTTCGTTAAAAAAATCTAATCAAGTACTTTCAATTTAGTGAAGAATAATCTCTTTGATCATATCCAATCTCGATATTTCCTGATACAAGGTATAAACTCAGAACCGTTTGACTTGCCTTTGCAGTGGTACAAGTACACTTCTTCGTTATTCCACAGCTTTTGAGAAATTTAGTAAAATTTAGCTCAAAGTTACGAGAATATTGTTTGAATTTAGATTACGAGAATATTGTTTGAAACAGCTTGCTGTCCTGCTTGGTGTTTTTGATAATAGAATTAGCTCTTATCATCAACAAAATCTCTTCTCTCAAAAGCGACATAATTTACTTATGCGTCCTTTGACGATTCTATTATTTCTGATTTAACAGAATACAAAATTATTCTACTCTATTCTACCGAAGTGAATTAGATTTAATTTTATTTCTTTTTCCGACTTTGTTTCACAGCTTGTGATGTAAATTATTAAAGTTCATATTCTAAGATTACGACAGGATTAAAATCAATCTAGAAGAAAAGTAGACTTTACAAAAAAAAACTTATATTTTTCTTTCCAATTTTTGTTCTATGAAAATTTGAATATTTTTATTATCAATGTATTACATCGAATTCTCTTTGTTTCATGCGTTGAGGCAAACTTATCTTTTGCTAGAGTGTTGCACTATGAAAAATATAAAATATACAGGAAAACATGTTAGGAATGTGAGATTGTCGGGTTTTATATTTTTCTTCCGTTTAATATTTCAATACCATTCATTTCTTTCTCCTCTAACGTCTCTTTTAAAGAAGAAGATGAATGCGTTTACTCAAGCAAGAATTATTCGCCCAGTAAAAGGAAGAGATAAGGGTTACTAGATAAATAACAATTTAGAAGTGATATTTCAGTTTTTTCCTTTCTCTTTTTCATTTTTAATGTTCGAACTATTCGTTTAATATCTGTCAAATCTTTTCTGCTCATAATAACGTAAGTTGACATAATTTCGACGAACGTTCGAAATACTTATACATACGATGATAGTTGTTTAACTTCGTTGCTTTTGATATAAATTAATAAAATGTATCGACGACATCAAGATGCGTAGACGTCAAAATTCAGTTTTTCGACTTTATAAATGACGGTCCGTCACATAATCATAACATAAAGCATTCTTGATGATTCTTGATTTTCTTTGTAGACATGGAATTTCGCGCATCATATAATAATATATATGCAGGAATAATTGTGACGTGACATTTTCATTAATCGTAGTATCACCTCGTGATATTCTTAAAATAATATATATTTTTTGATAATATATATTAGAAGGAAATAGAGATAAACAACACAGTTTTAAAACAATTCAAAAGACATTTTATATTTTATAGATCTAAGTAAATTTAATCAAATAAAATACGTGTAAGTACATAAATAAAAAATATATAACAAAACATGTATGACCAATTTTTATTAAACGTTTTGTAAGAAAAATTATCGATATTTACTAAATTTATATTATTTTCGAAAATATTGATAAATTATTTTAATTTTTTATTTCCGATAAATTTTTGAAAAAAAATTATTAAAATATATTTCTAAATTAAAAATGGAGATATTTTTTGGAATTTTCTTCTTAACATTCTAACATGCAGAAATTCTAGTACATGCTTGAACTATCTCTGAAAATTCTTCAAGCGTTATGAACGATCCTTGATTACAGTAAAAGAAGTTTTAGAATGCAGAAGCTGTGTTTTTATAGCATAACTAAACTTTGTATTTTGCGAGAACTTTGTTAATCGCATGGCCGACTGCATTTATGATAATTGTACTTTGGTATTGTATAATATAAAATACGGTTCAATATTTTTTGCTCGAAAAAGACATCTACGAAAAATAAAATTTATGTGTAAATTATGTAAAGTAAAATATAATATACTCTAACATTTTTAAATATAATTATATATATATAATAATTTATTTAGCAGAGATAATTTTGTAGCATTTTATGTTTATACGTTTTCAAACCTTTTAAATAACCTTATTAAGTTATTAAGAATTTTTTCGAGTAATGAGTAAATCAATTATAAATTGCGTCCGCAAGATTAATTTGCTTGAGACGAAGCTCACATAAGTCAATTCCTCGCTACAGTATTTTGCAATTTATGAAATTAATAGTTTTCTTTGCGTCAATTTAGGTCACGACGCTACACACATGCAGTGTGATTAAGAATTTTTGAAAATTTGATGTAAAGAAGAAAAGTCTCATCACTAAAAAAATAATTTACCTAAAAATTATTTACAAATTATATTTATTTCTACTTTATTATTTATTTATAAATTATTTATGTTACTCGTGTGTAAAATCAATTCTTATTTTATATCAATAAAAATTTCTTTAGATTATAATTTAATTTATAAATTCTTTTAAATCTCTCTCTCTCCAGCTGTTCAATTACAATTCTGTACAATCTTGATACCATCATTTAAAAAATCCTCTTCGCACGTGTTTCGAGAAACGTAGCTTCTTTTGAGCATTAAATCTAAAAGGGGTTACTGTAATCAGTGACGGGAACAATTCGCATGCAAATGCTGTTGCGCGTAGCCCCACCATCGCAGCGCACGTTTGTTCTACCACTGAGTAAAGCGAAAGTAGTTTCAAGCGGATGTAATCAAACGAAAGGAGCGACCACCTGAAGACTTATCAAGAATCAATAGATTTGATAACGATTATCAAACGTAATTTTTTTTTATTTTAATGAGTGACAGTTAAACGGTATATATTATTATAGCGCAAAGAGATTGCCAGTTTCTAACTATATGCGGAAAAACTGTGGCATATTTTTGAACTTATAAAATCTATTTCATTATAAAAAATTAAACAAATAATTGTTATCAATAATATTATATTAGATTAGAATACGTGTTATGATTTGTTATGATCTTCAAAATTCAAGTAGCTGTCTTCATTAAAATGAACAAAGCTTTAATTAAGTATAAAAGAGATTTTAAAGTTAAAATCTCTACTTTTGAGAAGTTATGTCGCTATGTCTTTTATAGGCTTCTGTGAATTTAGTAATTTTTAAACATAGAAAGCTACGATTAAATGGAAAGAAACATTCAATTTTGTTTTATTATCTAGTAGTTTATTTTATCTAGTATTATTTAAACATTGATTCAAAGGATAAACATCTTACATTCATATATCGACTCAATAGAACATACATTAGAAATTTATAGTTGACGGAGATCTTGCGATTTCCTTCACTTTTATCGCACTCTCATTGAAGTTGCAGTAGTATAACCAGATATGTGGTCATCAGTGAAGCGATCTGAAAGCAACATCGATCACATAATGATTTTCCAATATCCGAATAAAGTCCGGAATAGGAATTCGATGTGAATAAATAACAGAATCGTAAATTACAATACTATACAATTATATAAATTATAATTCTATTATAACGTTATTTATAAATTTAATATACAGTTATGCAATTACAAATTTACTTAAAACTATAACACTTTTTTACGTCTATACTTAATTTAAAGTATAAAAATAATATTTAAAACATGAGATGATAATTTTCATTAATTAACAACATTTTTGAAATATACCTAGAATCCCTATGAATATATATATACGTTGCATAATTGCGACCTAAATATAGATAGTATCGTCGATTCAGAGATAATTTCCTACAAGAAAATCGGAGTTTCGCGTTAAACAGAAACTATCGTAGTTTTGAGAGTCGTGTTCTCTCGAAATTACGTACACATACAATTACACTACTAGTAAAGTTCCACACAAGTACCAATTCCAAATGGCAACGTATCGACTTGAGTACACACGAGCTCTATTCAGTTTACAGGAATCATGAAATTGAAAGGCGTGTTTCCGACCATGCGATTTACGAGCACATTTACATTAATGTTTACAGCGTCCTGAATTCCTTTGAGATACTAAGTTAATACCTCGGTTAAGACCAATTGTGCTTTGTCTTTGTCATATTACAGAAAAATTTTAAATGAAAACGTTAACATTGATTCTTTGTGATATTTATTCTTAGTATATGTTTATTGATTGTAAAAATGAAATATACTACTGGTGTTTATATTTAAAACTCACGTTGATAAATATTCCACGTAATCTTTTCCGCAAGCATCATACACAGTATTTAATGAAAACATTTATATATGCAACGAGATATTTTATACATATATATATTTTGATATTATGACGTTTCAATTTAAAACCACATTACGTTTATGTTTTATTTATATTCCGATATGAATTCGAACGTTTATTTTTATTTTGCGTTTTGATATGACCGCTATGTTATTTATACTTCCGCATGGAAAGACAGTATCTGTGTGATAACGTGGTTTTTTAATTATTATCTAAATTGAACTGCAACGTGGAAAATACGTGAACGCACGTTCTTCTTTAAGTTGTATAGTTGCCGTGATAACATCGTAGTGAGAAACGTGTTTAATTTTCAACGAAATCATCTGGATAATTCAGCAATTTTGAAATCTTGACGCGATGATTTACGTTTACTCATAATATCACGAGAAAAACGAAGATCTTAATACGCGAAACGTTCGTCCTTAATCCGAAAATTAATCCTTTTAATCTGTCAACGTACGGACGTGTTTCTACGTTTGCATATAACTTTATTCATCCAGTAACAAACTTTTAGCTAAAGTTGAAATTTGGATCATAGGGTTAATCGCTATGTATATACTTGCGATTGTTCTTGTATGTATAGGAAGTAGTAGAATATCCGTGATATAATCCGTCTAATCAAAATTCTTATGTAATGCACAATAAGAGATATTTAACTGCAAATATTGTTTAATCAGTAGGCTATTATCAGAATCATTGAGAATGAGAAAGGTTAAATTCAGCTAATCAGAAGAAAGAAAATATCCGATTTAGTAAACTTTGCTTTTATTAATAAAATTTAATCTGAATTTCTCTCAAACCTAATCATTTTTTAGTCTAGTACGAACATTAGGCTATAGTATATTCATTATAGTCTGAAAAATATTTTTTTACGTAATTAAAATGTTTTGCATCTTTGATTTCATACATACCGAACGTAATAATGGCAAGTTTACGTAAAAACATCCGCCAGCAGAGAATTTGAGCTTTCGGTTTAGAAATTCCAACGAATATTCGATGTAATCCTGCATTCCAAGAAAAGATTTTATGCAGATTGCAGTCATTAAAATGATTGCTGTATGTACATAAGTATAACAAAGACACAGTCTTAAAAGAGATTTTATGAAAATGAATGAAATCGTAATTAGAACAGAGAAAAATTTCATTTCTTGAACAAAAAATTAAATTTGATATTGAAAGAAATGAATAAACAAAAGAATGAAATATGTCAAACAATTTATCTACTTACTTCAGTTTCTTTTTTCATCAGTCTTATTTGCCATTCAATTAGAGTCGAACTTAGGCAATTAGCCTGAAATAAATTACATTCTGAAATTCTTTATTAAAAAAATATGCTTTATTTCTTGTTAAATATTATTTTTTTTAGATTTAAAAAGATTATTTATTTATATTTTATCTGTATACACATCGACCATTATTTCATGTAGAATGGTCCAAAGTTTACACGTGTGATTCTTATCACACTCTTGCATTGTCATCTTGACATTCTCTATTATCTAAGTATAAAGGGACATTCTACTTTGCATCTGCAGAAAAGTTTTACTTGAGATGAAGTGAAGTGACAGGCAATAAGAAGTAGTAACAGCTGGGAGAGAAATGCCAGTAACCAAGTGCACATGCAGGAGACTAGCGGCCATGATTCCACATCCCATTGCTTCACGAGCATCCATTCGATTATAAAATATATGTTGCTGACGGTGTGCAGGCATAGATTGCTGAGATAAAAGAGCAACGACATCGAGTACAGCGACTCCAAATTCTCCGCGGCGATCATCAAATCGTTATGTAGACTCAGGATTGTCTTTTACAAACAAATAAAACTGTCATAATTCATTTACTATCAACTTAATTTTAATATAACAATCTATCGTTTAAGCATCTATTTTATTATTTTTATATTATTATATATCGTATCATATAGTTATGCTATTTCCAAAGAAGATTAAATGAAACCTTCTTGCTAATGATTGTTCCAGTATCCTCCATCGACGTCGATGGTAGATTTTGTATTGCAATCGAATTGAGATGTCCAAATCGCTGACCTAGAAAAATAGTTATCGCCACAAACTTGTAGATAGCCATTGACGTACCGATGTAGGGAATCATGTATTTCATGTTGTTAGTCCATGTCTCTAAAAAGGCGTACATTCCGATACGATTAATAACTATCCAAATAATCGTGGTCACAATTACGAGGATCCACGCGACAATCGCAGTCCGTGTCTCTTTCCGAGGATGACCCAATTGCCTCATATTCTTGTCATAATCTTGCAACGCATTCCAAATCCTAACGAAACTTCGTCTCGTAAATGCCGTTAAACCTAGCTCATACATCAGTACGCTGTAGTTGACGATCACCTGAACAGTTTATTTTAATCCTTATCTTTACGCAATTTTCATTGATCTAAAAACTTAAAGTTGTGAGGCCAAGGACCTCTTAATTAGGCCTGTCGTACCATAGAAGAAGAAAAAGCGAATTTAAGTACTAATTCCATTTATTGGAAGATTCGAATAAATTAACATAAATTTAATAATACAAATTTTCTAATCTCTCAAAGGATTTAAATAAATAAATTAATTTTTTATTTACATCTCTATTCTTAATAATACACAAAAAAAAAATTGAGTGTATATTTGTAGAGCAAATAGCATCTTGCTCTATATCTTAACTAATTTCTTACTGACCTTTGTATTCTCTGTACCTCCAATAGTCCAGGTTTCTCTTTTGACATTTAGAAACTTGGTAAATACGTCGTATGATACATAGCTGTAAAGAATGGCGCCGATCGCCGTGAAGAGTAGGTTGATTTTTGATGGTTTTAAGCAATCTTGCAGGAAGTAGTAAGGAGCGAAACCGAAGATTCGCATGATGTAGATCATTGGCCAAATGATTTTGTAAAGAGGCGAGTCTGGACCGCGTTTCTTCTTGACTCGTTTCTTTTTCATCTTGGCGAATAGAATTGTCATATCAAAAGGAACAGCTTGTAACTCCATGGCCAAAGCAAAAATCGAACGATGCCTTTAAATTAACGAAATCTAGTAAACATGAGTTCCTTGTTGCGATCTTCACAATGAGGTGAAACCTGCACCTGTCTAAAGCATAGATAATTATTACAATTACAATATAGTCATTTGCGCTCGAAAAATTTAAATACAACGGAAGGCAACGATGCACTTTGTAAGTGGATCTTTATCATGTTTAGAGAAAGTTTTTAAATAAAATATGATAAACTATACGTATATAACAAACAGTAGAAAGAATAAATAAACATATGAAAAATAGTGTAAAAAGGTGAATTTGTATAATATTCAGTTGAAATAAAATTTTATATATTAAGCTTTTTAAGCATGTGAATACATTAGAAACATAAAAGTCTAAAAATCTCCGCAAATTATTCAAACTGTGCTCCATTTTTCTCGTCATAAAAATTGTTCTGTAATGTCGTTTGTCTTCATACATACAGATTTGTTAAAGTTAATTATTTATTAAAGTCGATTAGTGTGACAACGCGGCGCGAAAGCAAAGTTTACAATTGCAGGGAGGCAGATAATGTAGCTTCCAATCAGGTCCATCTTCAATTTCGTAAGTAAATATTGAATCAACGAAGTCCTGAAAAGTCTGTTCGCTTTTGCCTGGTATCCCGGAAATCACCACGTTCATCGATCAATTGCATTGTCCTAGAAAACGTAACGTCGAAGAACAACGTAGAGCAACGATAAATAAAACTAGAAAGAAAGTAAGATGAACATAAAAACTGCAGAATAGATAAAGAATTACGAAAGAACGGCATAAATCCTAGCGAAGACAACTTTATTCTTCTCTAACTGCAATTTCTCTTAAAACGTCACAGTCAATCGAACGCGATAAAATCAACTAGTACGTTCGAAAATTCTGAGATCTCTCGCTTTTTATTTCGAAAGTTAAGCGAATTTTAACGTGGCCCTTGGGCTATCCTGGAGCTGTCACAAAACTCGAACTTTTTCTGTAAATTTGACAGTAACTTCCGTCTTAAAAATGTATAACTCAAGATAGAAATATGGAGGAAGAGTTGTGAAAATAAAAAGATTTATATATAATCTTGAAAACAATAAATATTTACAAAAAATTTAGCCGTCCAAAAATAGACGATCGTTTCGTCGAGTATCATTTATTGACAACACTTATCTTTTGCCACCATGTTTGTTGTAATTCATTACACATGTAATTCATCACATAAACTCTTTAAAACATTTTAGTTTTGCGTGTACTCACATTATGACAGGTCGAGTTCTCGTAGCGCATCGATTGTCCCGAACGACGCGACGTCGTGAGGATTACGAGGTCTCGGTGTTTCATGGCACTCTTGTCGCGCACGATACAGTGAGATTAGAGCCACTCGCGTAAACATATCCAATAGACGTTCACACAAACACAATGTACACACACACACACACACGCGTGTGAATTCTACCGTTAAATATTATTCCACGTCGGCCCCGAATGAATAATTGAACAGCAGAGAAGAATAACAGGTGGAGACAACCGGTCGAAGCGGATACTACACCCGCAGATTGGTACAATTTGTATTGCACGAAGAGCCAGTCTGTTTGCATTCAAGGCCATATTGCGTCCCGTACTGATTTTATTACGTAAGATTTTATTATGCCCATTTCCTTTCGAGTACCATGATATTAGTAAAACGTAAAAAATATGAGTATGAATATATTTTTAAAACAAAATATGAATAAATATATATTCGCAGGTACAAATAACTCATATCAATATTTATGATAATGTAAAAATAAATAAATCCAAAACAGGTATAAAGAATAATTTTGAAGAATTACATGTTTATTATTTTAACAATATAATATCAGAATTAAAATATAAAATTGTAAGTAAAAAAAAAAAAATTTAGACAGATAAAAATAAATCAAATAAAACAATTATCCTATGTTCGATTAAAATAGATCTTTTGGTAATATTCTTGACAATGTTTATACATATATGTAAATTTTGTAAATATATATATTTTTTTTTTCAATTCTATATAAAATACACGCAGTTTTGGTTTGTTCATTGATCGTCAATTTAATAATAAAGCTAATAAGCATTTTAAAACATTGCATAGAACTTATTGCGAAGTATTTTTTAGCTGGAATAAATATAAGATAACCGAATGAAAAACGTTTTTAAAATAAGATATTTTAGATTAGGATATACGATATTATATGATTACCAAAAATAATTGTATAAGAAATAATTAATTGTATAATATTTTTTTATACACAAAGGAAACATTAATTTTTTATTACATATTTTTTATAAAATAATTTTGATAAATTATAAACATATGTGTTGCCTGTACGAACGTTCTGGTATAAAATTAATGAAATTATAACATTGAAATAATAATCACATTATAATGAGCACATTTCCAACTTGGAAAAACGTGAAGAGGCGTCGAATGTAGGCGTCTATGTACGAATAACGCGATATTAAACTGAGAACACGTAGGATGAAGAACTGTACCATTCGGGCAACGCTCCCAAGAAATGTAATTTAACGGGGACGATATGCGGGCGAGTTCTCGAAACAGCGAGAGGAACGAAACGTATTTTCATATATTTCCTTTGCGAAAAAGTGATGAAACCACATACCAGCTCCAAAAATAATGTAAATGTGTAAATAAATTTCATACTGAATTCTTTTAGAACAAATTTCTTTTTCTTATTTCCTCCGTAAATGTTTATAAACATGATAATGTGATATTAATTGTGTGACTAATAGAAACATTTAGATTTATTTCATTAATTATTATTGATGTTTGATAATAGTGAACGATAGATAAACTGATAATATATTTGCGATAATTGCAATACAAGAGATATTTAACAAAAATTATTAATTATTAATTCCCTTTTATAACAGAAATTTCGATAATTGTTTTTGCAAATTTTTTACTGTGTACTAGTAAACTGTGTAGTAATACATAAGAGTTAATAATTAACAGGCTATTATGATATTAAGCAACGAGTTTAGTTCAAGCAGAAATCTGTGTACCAACAAATACTTTCTCTTTGTCACTATTTACTTGCTGTGGGAGGGAAAGCATCGTTTGGAACAGAAGAAAGGATTGTCAGTGGCCGGAAGAATAGAGTGAAAAAGAGTGCTTTTAAGTACAATGCCATGAATGCTGGATAGCGAATGCTCCGTCGCATCGTGACGTTGCTATTCTCGTTCTTCGTGCAATTAAATAGAAACGACAAAAAAACTTGGCGACGAAGCGACTGAATGCCAGCCAGAAATAGTCTGCATATTAAAAGAGTACATATGTCACGAAAGGGACATGTAATAACCTTTTGCGACCCCGTTTGTGGTCACCCCTTTTTATTTTATAAACTGCTTGCTCAATTTTTATGAAATGTGGTCTATAGAGTAATTTAATAATGCTTCGTGTCTAAGGTCAAAAATAAAAAATTCAAAATGGTAGATTTAATATGGTAAGATTATGCTTCATCAGATTATTTTTAATTAGATTACTTTTTAAATTTGAATTTCATAATTTTGGGGCCAGAATCGAATTTATAGCGATCCTGAAAACTTTTAGAAAGGAAGATCTTCCATAAGTTAGAAATCTTCGGTCTTATCCTTAAAGGATAAGAGCGATAAGTCGTGAATTAAAGTAACTTAGTTGTCGGGGTGATCTTGGAATGAAACACAAGAAAAGTATTCATGTCCATCGCGCAGTGTCCATGTTATAACTTCTCTTCAAATGTTTAATATACTTAAATGAGGAGAAAAAAAGGCTGGGGTGAATCGTTTCGCATTTTTATATATATATATATCTCGCAAAATTCATTTTAAAAATAAATTCTCGAATAAATTAGATTTTACTTATTTAGAAATAGGAACATATATACAGAACATAAACAGAAATTTACAGTACACTTTTATCATAGTTTGCCGTTTAAAATTGATTTAATCAATTTTATTCTAATTGTAAGTGGATAAGAAAGATTAAATAAGCCTCCATGGAAGAGAAAAACTGTTCATACTCCATATTTTTTAAACATCTTGAGATAAATGTTTGCGTACCAGCAAAGTTACTCTTTGTCTCGACAGCTGATTAATTATTCCAATCGGTGCGACCGATTAAATCCGCCAAATCCAGATAACATAATAGTATGATTCTCGGAAACTTGTTCAGAGAATGAATGTCGATCTAGTTCCTTAAAATTGTTCTCCGCCTCTTTCATTTCCTGCCATTATTTGCCATTTTGTAACAATTTTGCAAAAGGTGATAATTGTTTCAAAAACATTACATCTTTGCAAAACTTGCGCTAGAATTGCTTTTCATAACATATTCATTTAATATTATTTATATAATTATCACTATAATGTGGCGTCGAGTGGCTCACCGCTCGGTGCGATTGATGTAGACCCGAGTTCAATCCCACGTGCGCCCAAACGCGATTTTTCGCGTTTAATGAGCCAAAAAATGGCTCCACCTGGTGATCAAAAGATCTATGATCAATCAGCGCCGTTCGGATTCGGCGTTAAACTGTAGGTCCTATACATCAGTATACATATCAGTTATAGATATTTGTCTCTAATATCTGACTGAGGTAGGATTCTGTGGATCAATCACCCACAAATCCGAAAAACAATCTGATTCGAGAAACGAATATAGGCCTCGGACAAAAGAGGAAGAGGCCTATAGACGTCCTATGCTCCACATAAGGAGATAAAAGGAGTCGTATCGTATATAATTATCACTATATAAATCATATATTGAATTATACGAAATTTAAATTCAAATCATATCAATTTGTATTAATTATTATTTAAATTATATTAATTATCATTACATAAATTATATTAAATTATGCCCATGAAATGGAAAATCTATGAGACATCATTTTTGTATAGAATTAAAAAATGTTTATTTCAAGCAAATTATCTTAAAGATTTAAAATTATACGTCTGATGTATACGTATACACTTATGTATGTTTGTCGCACACGATTTATGTCTCTCGAGAATCTCGACGAAACAAAATAAGCGCACTGCGAAGGTGTAATTTAGTTGTCAACGCGGTTTCCCGCGGGGACAAGCGCGAATCGCCAGTTACGTCTGTCCGTCAAAAATTTTTATCCTCAATAGACCTAACCTGTCCCGCTTCCAACTGCAATCCACCGAAAAATCCTCCGAAACGTCAGGCACACTCGGCACGGCAAAGGACCGCTCAAGTCAAAACGTCCTGGAAGCCATTACACCAACTGCGACGCAGTCATGAGAGTGATCAAGGACGATCTGTTGAGATGGATCTGCGAGAGACACGCTACTGGTTGTCTCCTTGACAGGCATCTCCTACGTGACAAGGCCCTCGAATTAGCCCACAAGCACGGACTGACCAGCACGTTTCCTCAGAATTCTCGCGTTACTTGAAGGGCTCGAAGCACGAACGGGGTTAATCTGACAATTTCCGCGGGCTGTTCGCTTCCGTATCGCGATGACAGTATCGAACGTTTAATTCAGAAGGAAAACGATGCCTTGTTAAGACATTTATTTTATTCTTTTTCTAGAAATTATAATGTTCATCTTCTATTTTTTTTAATCATGTACGGATTTGATTCCGGTATTCGGATATTTGAAATATTCTACACGGAGTAACATCCAATTGTCATACAAAGTTTATATATTAATAATACAAAATATCTGTATATTGTTAATGATATTTGCAGTACGAAACATCTCATCGCGTTTAAATACCTTGTCTTTTTAATTTTTGGTTAGATTTTAAATGTTCTGAGAAATGGCTAACATCTTTTCTGAAGAAGTACGGCTTTAATACGAAGAAACCCTCTGGACCGATTTTCAACAACTATCGTCTCTGGATCGACGTGATGCGACCCATTATCATTCAGTACAAGCACAAAAATCTCTTCCATGTGGATGAATTGACGATGTATTCGGACGTTCCACCTACCGGAATATCAGCGTCAAAAATACGGCAGAACGAGTCCGATACGAATTTGAAGAAAACGACTATACTGTTATGCTGCAACGCCTCTGGCACCGAGAAGCTGCCACTATTGATCTGCGGTTCTTATCTCGCCGTCATAATGGGCAAGGATCACATATATAGTCACAGTGAGGACGCCTCGATAAACGATAGTCTCTTCAGAGAATGGTTGATCCAATTGAACCATCTTATGTCAAATAACGATCGCAGAATCCTGCTACTATTGCATAGAAATCGCATCGACGCTCTTCGAGATCTCGAATTGAGCAACATTAGATATGTCTTTTTTCCTGATGACTTTCCGCCAATGTTGAGACCCCTAAAAAGAGATGTCTTCCATTTCATCAAAATGACTTACAGAAGCAAGTACGTTCACGAAGAGGCGACTAATTACTTTTAAAATTACCATCAAAATTAAAATACTCTGCAAAATTTTATTAGCTTTTAGCATAATGTAATTGCTTTTAAATTATGAACTAGTTCCTGACGAATTTTATCATCTCTCGCAAATTAATAGAAACAGTCGCAACTAATTTAAAGATTATTTTATTATGTGATAAAATTCATCACAAAGTAATTTATAATATAGAAACAATTGTGTTAATAGCTTATACTGATGGCAGAATATTTTAATTCATATTGTGTGGATTCTTGTAATTTTTTTTATTTTAATTGCTGTGTTAAAATATAACAAACGTTTGTTAAATTTTAATGTTTTAAAGTTTGAAATGTAAACATTTCCATGCGCAAAAGATGCAGAAGCGCTACAAATGTGAAGCAATCTACAATAACTTTATCTGTGAAACATGAAAGTAGTAAAATATAAAACTATCAACGAAAATAACGTAAAATTTTCAAAATTTCTCTTATCACGTTGCAACTAACTTTTGGAAAATTTAGAAATACCTCTCGTTAATATATCATATATAGAAGTTCACGCTTCAAAGACTTAATTATCTCGCTTACAAGGAACTATCAGAAATATTCGTCGTAGGTATGTAGAAGGAATCAGAGAACGTAGACACCGATGGAACGTCGAGAACGTAGTGAGAAGCTTGGTGGAAGCATGGCGGCAAGTTCCGCGCGATCTCATTATCGCCAGTTTTCAGCGAACAAGCTTTCGAACCGACGACTGCTTTCTAGAAATCCGTTGCGATGCGTGGGAAGATCTGAAGTCGAAAATATCTTTCAGGAGGTTCGTCACATTCGACGATTATCTCTCAGCCAGTGCATCGCAGAAGCAGTGCGAGTCTATCAGCAGCAATCACAGCTATAATCTGAGGAGTCGAATTTCTGGAGAAGCCGATAAATTTGATAACCTGTTCGATTTTGCTATTAGTTCAAAGAAAAAAGACCCAATTGTTAATCGCGCACTAGTGAATGAAATTTCTAAAATAACTTATGAAAATAAAGATATTGATTGGAAGAGAACAAACCAGCTAAAGAGATCGCATGACAAGGCTCAATTAGACGAAGAACTTTACGAGGAAGCTAAGCCAAGCGATGAATCAACGTCGAGTGAAAATGAAGATATCGCCGTTATTTCAACGTCAGAGAGGCCTCCGAAGGTCGTCGACATCCAGATCGAAAGTATAGCTCAGACCTCTAAATCCGGTAATGTCTACTCGACGACGCGAGCAAGCGTGAACGAATCCAGGACAAATACAGAGTACGATAAAAATGAATGCGATAAAACGGCCAACAATGAGGAGGGATGTAAAAATAGTCGAGTATCGAGCAACGAGCGATCGATCGAATCTCCGCAGGCTGACAACGTGAATAACGACGATATCGCGTCGCAACAAGTGTTTGACGATACATCTATCATTGATTCACAATCAGACACAAAGGAGTCGAATGCGAAAGTAGTTTCTTACTCCATCTTGAGAGACGAAGTCGAGAAGGCCGATCTGGACGGAAATGTTAGGGATTTCTCACGGAAGTCGCTGAAAAGACGTTCCGTCGACGTCGATGAATCTCAGGGTAATTCTAACGATGAACCAGAGCGGAAAAGATTGAGATCTGATTCTGACTGGATGAAACAGTACGAAACGGCGTTCGTCTTCGGTCCGTTCGAGGTAGCGCGAACTGTAACTACTGTTTCCGCCGACGCACTCACGATTAGTGATAGTGGTGTACCACAACCGAGACCAAGGCGCTCATGCGAGACGGAGAGGAGTATCTTCACCATAAGTCCCAAGAGAGATTAAACGTCGTTTTACAGTGAGTGAATGTACTTGTAATTGTTATATAGTAAATCTTATATAGTAAATCTAGTATTCTTTGGAGAAAGTAACACGAGACAATAATCGTAATATTATATTTATCTTACATCGTTGCGTTGAAAAGTGATACGTCTCAAAATTAGCAACTTTTTAATAGAGCATATTTTAATTTTTTCCTAAATTTTAGAATGCTTTAATTAAAATAATGAATATAACTTCATTTTCTTTCCATATGTTATACTTTTTAATTATCATATATTATTCTTTAAAATTATATCATGAGTTTTCAAAATTCGATTATTACAGCCTTAGTATAAGATTGTATAAATTTCGTTTCTTATTAGAGTTGTGACCTTTTTCATTCCATATAAGTAAGCAATGTGTCGACAAACATATCGTTTTATCAGAAAAACGTACTAGTTTTTTGAGTCAATTTCTATATTTCTTAAATACTAATTTAATTTATATCGACTTTTCTTTTTATATCAACGCAATAATATATTTCAAAATTTCATAATAAAGATATAAAGTGTGAAAAATTATAATTTGTTGATCAATATATTTATTTTTCTTATACTTTCTTTTTTTATACGCTGCTTTGATAGAAATAAGTATAAAAAACTAACTTAATTTTTTAAATTTACAGAGAAAGGAAAAGAAATGATGAATCTTGGAGGAATCTAAAAATCAAGAGGATCATGTGTGCAATCAAATATTTAATTATCTTACAGTAAACAGGTTTAAAAAATGACAAAAATTAATATCGCTGTAAATCTATCACATAATATTTTTTTATCAATGAACTTACTCATGTAGGCGATGATTTAATTATGATCAATAACGGACCAATTGTTACTACGAAATAAACGCTTGAACAAAAAGAAACTTTCTGCAAATTATTATTGCAGGATATAATATTAAATGCCCTATATGTATAAAGGAATAAAGAATTTTCTTAGAAAAATCGTTTTCTCGCGATATGCCATTGAGTAAGCAATATGGAACTTACAATTAAAGTTCGAAAGTCAATAGTTTTCCTGGTAATTCGCGAAATCACGTCCTCGCCCACGTGGAAAATTATATCGCCCCGGAATCAATTCAGACTTGGAACTCTATTGTGCACTTCCGCCGGTTTTCTTCGCCGGATGCAATTTCTCCGGGTCGCGTTTCCTTACGAAACAAAGTTGCGCTGTCGTCCAAAGATTCGTAACAGGCTTGGGAAGACGCGATTCCCAGACGACATCCCCAACCTTTGAATAATACGATTTGTACACCCTGCGCACATCGTCGCACGTAAGCAATGCTGAAGGATTAATGGCGTGTCGTCACAGAGGGTCGCAATAATTCACAGTCAGGAGGCAGAGAAATATTATGATTAAATCGATAGACAGATTACTTTAGATTATAATAAATAAGGAAAGAAAATAGGATTTTGAATTTAAAATTATTCGATGTTGCAGATAAAAGATAAATTTATAATACTGTAAAGCAAATACTTTATATTATTAGATGAAAAAAAAAACTCGGTAATATATACATAGATTAAGAACACTTATAACAAAGTCTTTTGTTCTGTATTTTAATATGTCGACATTTAATTTCAATTATTAATTACAGTACCTAAACAATTAAATTATTATCTCCTAAATTACGAAAATTATTAAATAGTGTCGAGTGTGTTTCACACTAAACGATAATTATATTATTAAATTATTTAATATAATATCTATTTATTATATATAATAATCTATTTATTATTGAACAAATCTTCTAATAATAATACATAATTATCTGCATAATACATTCATTTATCTGTTAATTTTTTTAGATATAATTACTTTATGTTTAAAAAGGATTTCTCTTCGCTAAATTATGTCATTTTTAAAAACAAAAGAATTATATAAACAAAAGGATTAGTGCATTCTAAAAATGCATTAATTGAGTTGACCTTTTCAAATTATCATTCCGTGAAGAACGGTGTACATCCATCACCGCCTACTTGGATTTTTTATGATATTGTTATCAGACCATGCATACATGTCTGCATGTATTTATATTTCAGTACTTTGTAGCGTACGTATGCTTGCTTAAAGACATTTAATGCGCTTGCTTCTAACTGCAGACATCGTTACACACAGTATATGGGCGAGATGCAATTTATCATCGTGCAACTTAGCAACCGTCGTCATCGTGCTCATCATAATCGATTTCCGTTGTCGTACTCATTCGAGGATATGAGCATCGTAGATCACGAGTATTCTCAAGCTAAAGTGCACTTTAGACGATTTATAATTTGTAATAATATACTACATATTTATGACTTTGTGCTGTATACAATATGTCAAAAGCAATTTAAAAATTAAAATATATATAAAATTACGATTTCAAGAAGTTCCAAAATTTTAGTTTAAGGATTCTACTAAACGCGGAAATTCAGTTTTTCAAAAATCACTAGAAATAGGAAATTAGGAAAAAGGACATAATAAAAGTCTAAACATTCAAATACTAAAAACAATTTCCAATTTTATTTGTTATTTTCTTTCTTTTTCGTCTGTGCATTATATCCAAGAGTATAAGCCTGAAAGGAGTGAAATTCGTTAAGTATTATTATAATTAAGTTGTTAAAGAGAAAAGAATCAACAATTGATCTTCGAGTTTTGCTCGCGAGAGGAATTCTTGCTTTTTAATCCTCTTAATGTTTTTTCTCTTAATAGAATATGATAAATATAATCTATATTATGTCAAAGATATATGTATATAATATAAACTTTTAATATTACAAAACTTATATACATATATATAACATTTTTATTGCCTAATTCGTACTATTAATATTGTTATAAATAATAACACGCTGTATTCATATTTTAATATCCTAAGTATAATACTATTGTATTTCTTATAGTTTCATTTATGATATAATTTTAATGTATTGGAGCATCAATCATGTCTCAAAGAAGAAATGTATCTCACGAACACATACAATTACATGCATGCGCGTAAAGTGTGCGATCTGATTCTGGAAATATATCTGGCGAAGTATTTTATATTGCCGAGATCGAGTCCGAACGTACGATAAAACCACATTTTTCTACGCTCTTCTAGCTTTATTCGAGAGAAAGACACCTGCAACCTCCATTTCTTTCTTCAGTGTTCACTTTTCTCGACAAAGATCAGATCATATATCCAAAGCAAAATAGAAATTTCTCGTTGTTTACTTATTATTATAAATATAGAATTATATAAACTCGCAAAATGAACCGCGTAATGTTATTCTTGAATTTCATTTATTGCAACGTAATTAAAATTAATGATCTTTATCATTACAATTAATAAAATTTGAGATATTTGGATATCTATAAAATAAATAGCGTTTTAAGGTAGACATAACACACCATCCACTTATTTAGTAATCTAAAAATATATAATTTATTCAAATTTCTCCAATTTTTTTAAATTTTAACAATATTTTAGTTACATTAACAAATAATAATATCTATAAAATAACAATGATTTACAATTTCTTTGATATGCAAGTACAAAGCTCAACTATTAAAAAATTTTCAAGTATTAAAATAGTTGTTAAAAAGAGATATAATTGGTATTTTATCAAAATTTTATTAAAGATTACGGCAAATATCTATCAATGTAGTAATTACTTGCTGAGGTAGAAACATGTAGACTTATTAACATTTTTTCAGTCACCTAGCAGTTCTATATTACGATATTGAACTTCTTGAATAATAGACAATGTTTTCTGCAATATTTCGGCATGTACTGTTGATTCGTCTTGATCAGCATTTATAATGACCCAAGTGTCATCTTTTAATTTTTCATAATTAGCATCAACGCGCTGTTGAAATTCGTCGTGCTCAAACCTTTCTTTCCCCCAATCGCCACGCAACTCTTGCTGTTGTTTAGACACTTTGAGAAACACTACACAGTCTGGCTTCGGAAGACCTAAATCAGCCTGCTGACACCAATTGAGAGTTCTGCCAGTGTTGGCTGCTGTATACACAATGCCAGAAGCTGCATATCTGTCTATTACTAGAGTAACGCCGGAACAAAGCGTCTTTTCCATGTCCTCTTTGCATTCCCAGCGGTTGGCAGAAAACAGCAAATGAGCCGCTTCTGGTGGCATATTTATCTCTTTTAACAAGAAACTATTTAGGATAGTTCCAACAGGAGTCTTTCTGTCTGCAAAAAAAAATAAAGAAATATTTCTTCAAATTCACAAAGGCTGAGCTAATTTTTATTGGATAAAGATTTCTGGATCATGAATAATTTTATTTAGTCCTTGACTGACGTGATCAATTCTATTACGAAATTAATTTTTTATTATCAATTTTGTTAATTATCTATTTTTTTTTTAAACAATACTATACCATGAGATTGCATTCCAATCACTCTACATTCACAACAATAGGAAATAATGACATTAACAACACAATAAATGTAACGATAACATAACAAGCAATAACATCCCGAATTATAAAAATTTAGTTTCTAAATTACTATTTTTTGACATTTTTGTTGGTAAATTTGTTCATGTTTACAATAGAAAGATCTTTTCCCGCGCAAAATAACCTAATTTCACACGCGGTTTACTACACTCACTTGGAAATGCCCGGGCCTTCGCAGGGATTCGCAGATCGTTCAACGCATTCATCAGCATTTTAACTTGAGTCGATTTACCCGCCCGATCACAACCCTCTAAAACTATCAACGCGCCGCGTTTATACATATTCGAATATTAAATGATAACGAACACAATACTGTCAATACTGGCGGCTGGACGACGCCAGCTGATGCTAACAATAAGTATACATTATAGAATAGTTTCTCTCTTCCTCGCTCTATCCGAATTTTCTTCGTTTGCACCGTACGTCCATCTAGCGGTCGAAAAGAATAAAGACACATCAGATGGTAACTGTATGACCGTACATGGCAAACATAATACATAGAATATGAAATATATATAATTCTTTTGATTTATTACACAAGAAAAAAATTATAGCTTTGTAATTAGTTAAAAATTCCAATTTTTTAATGTGACTAAAAAAACTTTTTCTTTATCGCGAATTTTAAGAATTAACAATACACACATTGTTTCATTGAATAAACATACTATTACAAATTGATATTTTATATATTTTTATTTAATTTTATTATTTATATAGAATTATTAGATTCATATATATATTTAATTTTAATGCGATCATTTTCAAAGATGCAGCGATTATATATATACTATATAATACTTTGTCTCATTATACTTTCATCGTCTTCTTTAACAATTTTTCACTAATTGCTATTGTCATATTTTGATAGAAATTTGGGATCGTGGTCAAGTGAAAAAAGTCGTTCGTGCAAAATATTTTAACACATTATTTTATTTAGTTTTTCCTTAAAAAAAGAATGAAATTCTTGAAATCTTAGTTGTTGGGTTTTGTTCACTTGAATTCTGGCGAGTAATGGGCATTTTCGAAGCGACAATACACACTAAGTTTGCAAATTGGACTAACTATATGTATATATATATATATATGTTTGTATATATGTATAATATTTATATAAGATAGGTTTTTTTCACTTTTCGCGCGTTTACAGTGTAGTACATGTACATCAGTAATGATGCATATTTGTTGCTCTGTATTTTTCTCTTTCACACATTCTCTCTCTCTCTCTCTCTCTCTCTCTCTCTCTCTCTCTCTCTCTCTCTCTCTCGACGTTTTCTCTTCTCTTATTTTTGCATGCACACTTTTTCATTCGTGTTCATTTACACATTTACACTTTTTTAAACATCGGTATTTTCGAGGGTTTTAAAGAAATATGATAGATATTTTCTCACTCAATACGTTAACACTTATTTCTCTTTCTATCTTCTCTCTCTCTCTCTCTCTCTCTCTCATTCTTTTTACTCATTTATTCTTTCCCTTTTTCCCTTTCTCTCATTCTCTCATGTCTTATAAATCAGCAGATGTACATTTCACGTGCACAACGTGTACTTAATTTTTTATAAAGAAGAGAAATAAGAGAGAGAAATATATCGTGGCACGCGGGCATTATTATGTAATTTAGCTTTTACATACGATTTGAAGTTTATATTTTTCTTCCGTCGTGAATATATCGTAAATAAAAATCGTAAATATTTGAACTTTTCGTACTTTTAAAATTTAATATTGTTTTGCTATTCTAGGCATTTCAAATTTTTGCAGCCGATAACTTGAAAAATTTATTCCAAGTTCATATTTTACAAGTAACGCGTGGCTTGCCATATCTCTGCATGCATAAAATTTTCTTTAAATAAAATTTATTACAGAATTTGCAATCTAAAAGGAAATATATTGTTACACGTAACTTTATATCGGAAATAAGAGAATGACGGAAGAAATAAAATCTTTGTCATAATTACAATTGGCCGGATCTTGCATTAAATTCGACATGCTGCGTGCGAGCGCACGATGATTAATATAATTGCTACGTATGTATAAAGGTACAATCTTTTCGCTTGATTTCTTTTTAGAGAAAAAAAAACAAGTGTTCCTTTTATCTAGCTTTTTCGCATACATCTACGTGAATATGTATAAGTAATATACAGCAAATTTTTTACAATGGTGGGAAACACGACGGGACGCCGCGTGTGACGTGCTCAAGATGGCCATTCGCGAATTTCCGCCCTGCGATCACCTGGACGAACTCAGCTTCCGGTTTAAAAACTTTGAATTCTCAAGCTTAAATTCTGGCATCCCGTGAATTTCTCAAATTTCGATCTCACGAAATTTCGAACGCGCTCCTCTGGCATGTGAGTCATTCGGCCGTATATTGAAAGAGAAAGAGAGAGAGAGAGAGAGAGAGAGAGAGAGAGAGAGAGAGAGAGAGAGAGAGAGAGAACAAGTAGAAACAATCATGTTAAACTATCATCACGTGCATGGCAGCGTCAAATTTTCTTCAGAACCGTCGTGCTTCCACATTTGCGCATTATATCGCATAATTTTTTGCGCATATCTTTTTTCTAAAATTAATTTACTTTAATGTTAAAGCTTTCAATAGATTCTTTGACTTTTTTCGGTTTTTTTACATAATGCTCGCAATGGCATGCGACTACATCAGTCACAAGCAACGCGTCGCGCGTTTAATTCTAAGTGCAGCTCGTAGAATTAAATAGGATAAAATTGATTTTTGCCTTTCCGTCCAAATGTCAAAAATCAATTTTATATATGTTATATTCAAATATAATCGAGATGTCTTTATTCTAAACTCTGTCAGATTAAAATTTAGAGTTGCATTTTTAGCGCTAAACGCGAGGCGCGAAAGCAAGATTCTTACTTTATACGATAATACCACACTTTTTTTTATTTATATTTCTTTTTTCTTTACATTTAGTCGCTCATATATGTATATTCGTTGAAATAGCTATACTCAACATACACATACTCACACATGTAACATACATAAACCTAATCGTGACTCGCTTCTCAACTCGTCAATTTATTCTGAGTTTCTATTATTTGCGTTTCTTTCCTGTCTTTATCTCGTTTTGTTTCATTTTTTCCATCTTCAGATATTTTTTTATTTCAAAGTTTGTAAGACGACGAGGAAATCGCAAAGATAATCTTTGTATGGAAACTGGGCACTTGTGTGCCGAATTGAAACTTAGACAATATACATATTGTACATCAAAAAGATGCGTAAAACATTTCAACGGTTTGAAAGTAATTACATTTAAATAGCATATATTATATATATGTATAAATATTCTTTTACGTTCAAATATTTATTAAAAAAGAAAAAGGGAAATATAATATATATTGTATACTGTAAGAACAAAAGTTATACGACATCAATTAGATATTATGTATTTAGTTTAAATCTTACAATTTAAATCAAAATTAACTAATCGAATTAAACGCGTTATTTATTATATTTATTATTGCAATCTCCATCTCGCCGTCTTCTCATATTTTTCGTGCTCGAATTATGTGAGAATTTTAAAAGAGAGCTTCCGAATCTCGATTATTCTAATGTCTTTCTTCTGATTTAATATCTTCATTGCGCGTTTTGTATATTCTAGTTTCGTAACATTAAGGCATCTCTTATTACTAATTAATGATTCACTGTCTTATAACTTTTTTCCCTTTTTTTCCTGTAAGACTTTCGAGCAACGAAGAAGTGTCAGCTCTGATGTTTAAATTCACAATATCTTTCATTTCTCAAAAGTATATCGAGTACATCCTATCACATGAAATTATATTATATTTGAACACATACTCAAATGTTGACGAAATATTGAAAAATTACAACTGATGATTACTTGGCTATAATCAATCCATACATCATCCAAACTATGGAAATCAAAGTACAATTCAATTGTTAATATTATATATAACATTCTGGTTATTAGAATCGTAAATTTTAGTGTTTATTATTTTCCTTAACAATGTGAAACATCAAAACATAATTTCAAAGTAACGACAAATATTTTTAAACAGATAAAATAAAATTGTTGTAAAAGTTTATTTCAATTAGAAAATAATTAAATAAGAAGAATTAAATGCATAAAAGCAAAAGTTTATCAATAAAATTAATTTATTTATTACATTTTGAAAATATTATTTATTAACTTTATTATCCATAATTATGTACTTTGATGTTTATTGTGACTGGTTTTATATCGGAATTATACATTTTTCTGATTCTAGTTTTTCTCATATTTTCACCTTTTAAAAGCAAATCTAACGATACTCGTGCACGCGCGTGTATCAGAAGTGCGAAAGCACTCCGATCGGAAGAAATTGACGTCCTGCAACAATTTTCTGTACTTCAATTCATTAATCAGAGTAATCACATTCGTATCGCGGCTCTACGCATAACTTAATCAGACTCAGATCAACGGGTTTAAACATATATATATAGATATATCTCATATATATATATATATATTTATATTATATATAGAGATCGGCATAATATGCATATGTATTTATATTTATATAGTGTTATCGACGGGATTTTTCGATTATTTGCAAAAGTATGAAACTCTACAGAGTCTCAGCGCCGACACGCCGAGAGATTCTAATGACAATGTTTCTTTCCTTCACATTCGCATCTCCTCTCTCTCTCTCTCTCTCTCTCTCTTCCGCATCTTTCTTTCTACTATTATACATATATAATTATTTATTATCGACAGGGCAATGTCTCACACTAGCCGCTTTTAAGTTTGTTCATACCAAATTTAAAGTAAAGTTTATATAGATGGATAATGTGTACGCGTGTGAACCATTTACGTGTACATATTTATATATGCATATACTAGACCATGTATCTATATGTCTCATGTATTTATATATTTATATATGTATAGAGTAAAAAACTTAACGGTAATTTCTCTTTTTTATTCTTCTTCTGACTTCATTCTTCACTCGCCCGAGAAAACCTCACATTTTATTAAGTTCCTATTCCATCGCGATTGTACCTTAGCATTATAGATACAATAAGTAAGTGAAGTTATACGTGCTGAATTCATATGCTTGTCTTTTACAATACTATGTATATCGGTCGAACAACAATCCCATAAATCTCTCTCTTTCTCTTATTACCTAACGCGAGTCGCTTCGTGTTTCGTTTGTTTTCCCTGTACAAGTTGAGAGATTTCGTCTATTTCCGTTTCGTATGCAGCGTGCACCGGATGAATCTACACCGGATGTGTTGTTTACCTGTTTTTGCGAGCTTTCCGCAAGTACCTCACTCTAT